TCAAAAAAAAAAAAAAAAAAAATATATATATATATATATATATATATATATATATATATATATATATATATATAGACAATTCTATCATTCTGGGAAAGGCAGACAACCCTGTGTGTGACGTGCCCTAATCTTTTCCACTTCTATTTTCTCTCATCAGGGACGGATCCAGGATTGGATCCAAGACCGAGCTATAAAATTTCAAACCAGACTACTACGGTGAAAAAAAAAATTACACATAAAAAATTGGTTTTTTACACAAAAAAAAAAAACCCCCTCTTGGGCCTGGGGGGTACAACCCAGCCCCCCTTAAATCTTTCTCTGCCTCTCACACTGTATCGGAAGCCGATGAACTACCAAAGACTATCGTGTGCCAAGTAGTGAAGGATAAGCTATCACAGCTCTCTAAGGATTCCAAAGTCACCATTCTTCGGGAGTCTCTTCAGGGCTTCTGCGAAAGTGCTTGAATTTTATCCATTTCCTCTCTGCTACGTAAGCAAACTTATAATAATTTTTATCCATTTCCTGTGTGTGACGTGCCCTAATCTTTTCCACTTCTATTTTCTCTCATCAGGGACGGATCTAGGATTGGATCCAAGACCGAGCTATAAAATTTCAAACCGGGCTACTACGGTGGAAAAAAAAATTACACATAAAAAATTGGTTTTTTACACACAAAAAAAAAAAAAAAAAAAAACCCTCTTGGGCCTGGGGGGTACAACCCAACCCCCCTTAAATCTTTCTCTGCCTCTCACACTGTATCGGAAGCCGATGAACTACCAAAGACTATCGTGTGCCAAGTAGTGAAGGATAAGCTATCACAGCTCTCTAAGGATTCCGAAGTCACCATTCTTCGGGAGTCTCTTCAGGGCTTCTGCGAAAGTGCTTGAATTTTTATCCATTTCCTCTCTGCTACGTAAGCAAACTTATAATAATTTCCATTACATATTTTTTGATTTTTGATGAGTAATTATTTTGTTTTTGTTTTTTTAATAAATTTTAGTGGGATTAACTAGAGCTATAGAATGCTTGGAATTAATTAATTTTCGGATTTACTTTTTGGAATTTATTTTTTCTCTACAATAGTTTTCCTATTATGGCAAGTTTGGCTAAGCTTAGAATACTTTAAAGGGGCAATCATGTGACTCACCGCCACAGCTAGCCAGTCTCACCGCACGCCCGTCGACCGTCGCTTCTCTCTCACTGGTCGTGTATCTGTAACTTGGTTTTTATCTTCAATTTTCTTGAGACTAAACTACGATTGTCCGTTTTTGCTGAAACTGAGTCCGTTTGAGAATATCCAAGATGTTTTTGGCTTTGTTCTCTATTCCTATCATCTGCAATTAAGAGAATTTTTGGACAATTGATCTTATTTGTTGAAGTGTAAAGATTACTTGATTAGCTTAGAAGGTTTGTCATTTGTATTTTTTTCTCTATTCTTGACATTAGCCATTAGGCTTCATGGTTAAATATTTGGGTTCTGTTTGGATTTTAGATTTTGACAAAGATACTTGAAGGTTTCTTGGCTCCATCCGTATTTCCATACGAGATAAATGAGTTTACAAATAAATTTAATAGAGAAATTTTAAAATTCACAGTTGTTTATTTTCCATACTGATTTTTAATAATCCCCTTTTTTATTTATTGAATTAGTATGCTGGTTTACATGATTATCGACAATCTTGTTCAATTAAAAAATTTATTTATTGAACAAGATTATCGAGAAGTTAAGGACTTGTAAGAACATGACAAAATTGGAAAATTTTCAAAAACACATGATTATGGAGACATAGATATGATTTTCACGTCAAAGTAGAAAATTTGTTGTGTTTAATGTTGTTTGTTATTTACACAGATGTCTGGCCCAAGTAGTGTTAGAAGTATTGGATTAGGACCAATACGCGAGGAAGATAGCACAATCGATGTATCGGAGAGCAATGTCCCACAAGAAAATCCAGTTGAACTATTATCAAATGCGGATGAAAGGACGATAAACCTAAGTGACGAGGAACGTGATATTAGAGAAATATCATTTGGAAAGAGGAAATTGAGTTCAACTGTGTGGGAGCACTACAAAAGACAGAAAATTGGTGAGAAATGGAAGGTTATATGCAATCATTGCAATAAACGGTTAGGGGATGAAATAAAATATGGTACAAAATATTTGCATGATCATTTGAAGATATGAGTATTCCGTTATAAGGATAATACTCACCAAGCAACATTAAATTTCAAAAAGGATGCCACGAGTGGCAAGGTCACAATGGATACTTACTCTTTCGATCTAGATAAGTGTAGATATAGTCTTTCGAAAATAGTGATTTTGCATGAGTATCCTTTGTCTATGGTTGATCTTGCACGACCTACAACCATTGTTTAAGGTTCCTTCTCGCAACACTTTGAAGAGCGACATTTTGAAATTCTATGAATACGAGATAGCCAAAAATATGATTGCACTTGAGAAGATTGAGAGTCGAATTTCGATTACTACCGACATGTGGACCTCTTCTAATCATAAAAGAGGATTCATGGTTATCACTGCTCATTTCATAGATGATGGGTGGAAACTACAGAGTCCAATCATGAGGTATAGTAAAACATTACATTCACTTGTTCTCATAATTTACCAAAATGATATTCTTTTAGTTGATTTAATTAGTTCTTGAATGAACTCAGGTTTATATATGTGTCGTGCCCATACACTGCTGATGTGCTTTTGGAAACTCTATTGAGCACCTTGATGGACTGGAATATTGATCGTAAGTTACTAACTTTGACCGTAAATAATTGCATCACAAATCATGCAATGACCAGCATTGTGTTAAGTCAACTTTATACTCGTTCTCTTGTACTGAATGGTGAATTTTTTCGTATGAGGTGTTGTGCACATATATTAAATCTTATTGTGAAGAATGTGTTGGACATTATTAGTGGTAGTGTTGAGAAAATTCGTGATAGTGTTGCTTATTGGACAGCCACGCCAAAGAGATCTGAAAAATTTGAGCTCTTTGCACGTCAATTGAAAATT